TACGACAACATTTATAATCCCTGTGACTCTTATTGCTGATCTTAACGGATACGGGGGCTCTAACTGTTAATTTGCACTAGAATACGTGTTCAACAGAGTGATACTATGTATACTAATCATGAGTCATGGTAAATGATGACCATTAGAAACTTGTCTAATTATATTTAAAAGTAGATTCTTTCTACATTTTTTCATAGAAAGTTGCCCCATGAAACAGGAAGTGAAAATTGTTTTATTTTGTAACCATTTGGTGATACTTTGTGGACAAACTCCCAAGATTTGAGCGTCCATATTAACGATATATGAAACTGAATGCAAGAACGAAGGTTGCATTCTAATGGTATCCGATTTGTGAGTCAGTATTACTGAAATGCGAAATTTACGATATAGCGCCATAACTTATTGGTAAGTTTCGATCGTGACCAAAGTTTGTATCTGAATTCTGCATTTTTATGCCAATTTTTTCGTCTACCCGCCCGATTTTTGTCCTCGTTTTTGTCCATTAATAATAATGCACATACATGAAACTTTAATATGGATTACAATCACGGGATAAAATAAGAGTAATGTATGATCTGCTGGTTAAATTGTGATCATGCTAATTTATAATAAAAACAAGTCAAACTGCAATACGTTAATATATTAAGATTTCTGGTACGTGTCTAAATTAATATAAAACGCAACTAGGCAGTTAAATCTCCTTTACGTAAGTATTCAACCTTAAATAGCGCTGGAGCATTCAATTCTCTTCAATAGTTTGCACTAATGCACTACGACGCTAGTTCAAATATACGAGGCAAACAACAACAAATGGTAATATGACGGAAAGCGTTAAAAGCAAAACTACAACGCGATAGAAAAATTGTTTTTAATTCTCTTATTTGTTTATTGTATTAGATGCGTTGTGCTCACGATTTTCAATCACAATGGATCCGCATGGACCCATTATGAACTTTCCTTTGATCGTTTCTTCGATCTGAAATTGAGGTTGACTTTCCGCTGTGCCCTACACGGACCGACTATAGAATGCCCGGCCAATTACTCCTTTCTTGCTTTCTTTCCCTGAAAATCTACGCCCGCAGTGTGAAGGTGATTTGATGTAGCTGATGGTTCGCTCTTGGCTCAGTTTATCTTTCCTCGCGAATGTACAACGACCGGCACAGATTCGGTACGGTGTAACGTCTATTCACAAAGCGGATTTCCCCGGTATTTTCACTCATATTTATAGGTATCTGACCTAGTAAACGCTTTATCTTACAACGGTGAATGGTTTAAATGCTTAACTCGGCGATATTATAAGGTTTTTGTCATTCAACGTACGGTTGCAACAGACGTCTTCAACTCGCTCTTGTCTCTCTTATTTTAATTGCAATTCCCGCTTTTAATAATAAATAATAAATAAATAAAAGTCAACTTGGGTTATGATGAGTAAATGATATCGTTAATTTCCTTAAAATGCTAAAACACACCTTATTCGCTCACACATAGCTATCGTTGAGTATCTATTTTTAGATTATGCAATTTTACACAACTGTAAAATATCTGTATATATGGAAGTTACCAATAACGTAACAATATACTACTCACCCTAATTTTACTGATTTACTAATTTTTACATTTAAAATCACAGACCATGTCAAAATTATGACAAGAAAGAGGAACTTTCAACTAAATATATCCTAGAAGCCCCCACTAAAAAATCTGCGAAAAATACAGGAGCTCCTGTTTCGGCTAATGAGAAACATTACAAAAAGGAAATTGGTGACGGTAGAGTGTAGAAGAGTAAAGTGAAGATCTCCTCCGTGTGGCATATATGGGTACGGCTATACGAAAGTAGAAGTCCTCGAGTTTCTACGGAATTCATCACTAGAACAGGATTACAGACACGGTGGTGTGAGAAAAAGGACCTGGTGATGAATGGTTTTTATTGTTTTTAAAAAGGCACCCGGAAATGTCTATTCGTAAAGGCAAAGCTCTGGGCCCACAACGAGTGCGAGTTGCCGATGCATTTTTGATAAAGCAGTGAAATGACAATTCACAAACTGTTAGAGAAAGAAAAAGAAAGAAGATATAACCGAAAACGACGCCAATCTGATTTATAATATTGTAACGGAAGTGGATTCGGTCATGATCCGAAAAAAATATTGCAGTGCTAGCCTGTGAATGGGCTGATAGCACAAAAATGACCCGATTTATAATTTTTGCTGGTAAATGTGTGGTTCTCCTGGGTGTGTCCCAATCCATATCCTGAAAGGGCTTACACAAGACAAGATAGAGGATGGATAGTGGGAAATTTCGTAAACATATTCGGCAAAAGGCAGATCCTTAATTAATTAAATTATTAATCCCGTGTGGCGCAGTTCGAATCCTGGTTCGGGATATTTGTAAACGTGTAGTGGGTTGGGTTAGTGGAGCAACCCTTGGCTGAAACGCAGCCCATTTAAAAATTAAGATCCAAAATTAAAGAAACGAATATTCAAAACAACCATCGGTTTCGTTATAAATGAAATTTGATTTACGACTTAATGGCGTACGGACTATAACATGTTCTACGTCAATTTCGGATAAATGTTAACACCTAAAGAATTTGCATATCTAGGATTATCGAAATCATTTTATTAAAGGATGATTAGCATTTGAACCGTTTTATTCGAATTTAATTTTAGTTCAATTGAAATACACCAAATCTCGGCTACTTAATTAAATTCCTCTATCCGCCCAGGGATTCGCCTCTTTATAAAATTATTTAAATTCTGGTTTGATTTTAGCATTCTAACGGTATCTTTTAAGTAGAACGAAAAATCGTTAATAAATATTAAAAATAATAAAGGTCCCAGAATGGAACCTTGTGGCACGCCTCTTTGAAGTTTAAAATTGGATGTATTTCCATCAACCCTTACACCTTGCATTCTATCGCTTAAATATGATCTCATCAATGATACACTGGAATATAGATGTATCAAATGTGTACAACTTCGATTTCTGATGTATGTAATATTTCGTGCACCACACTGCGAAATGTGAATATAAATGGCCATACGCATAACGAACATGAACGAAATGAATGGCCGCATCAGCAGTGATCATATTTGCAATAAATAAATGGTTCTCCTCAAAATGTTTCGAAACTTTCATGTTATGTTGCTAAATGTTCGCTATCACTGGTTTTTTAATTTCTTTTTCTACCAAGTGACGTAAAGACTCAATATGGCGTCTACAATAAATAAAAAATTAACACAATCAGAAAGTAATGAACCAATTACTAAGGGTTTGTTAAAATTTTATTTTGAAATCTTTGACAATAAATTAATGCTAGGGCATTTTCGAAAATAAATTTTTTTGGTATTTGGGTCAACTTAATCAGCATAAAAGTCTATTTAGGCGGCAATAAATTGTATCTCTTACGGTTTACAGGACCTCCATAGTGAAAATGAAAAAAAATTGTGGATGTTTAAATGGTACGAAATATCTCAAATAGATCACTCGCCCCTCGTTCGGGGTTTCGAACCTAAAATTGATTGTCGACATCAGCCGTAGTATTGAGTGCCGTAATTCATTTGGTTACATTTTTTTGCCACGACCGTGACCGTCTCTTCAAGGCGAAAATGTTAGTTTACAAACAAGTCAGTACACATACACACATTAAATAAGTCAATAATTCCCACATGGGCCAAGACCATGTAATCAAAGCAAAAATAAAAATTTAGCAAACATTACACCAAAAATGAACGCGATTTCAAACAAAAGGTTAACGGTATCAAACACATGAACCTGCATTGGGGTTAAATCGAGTCATTTTCAAAATCAAAAATTGAAACTGAGAAAAAATATAAAATGCGACATACAAAACACAAATACATTATAAAGGAGTGCCAAATTTACTACCTGCATTAAATAATGCAACAAACTTTTACAACCGATTCCTTTGAATTGGCGTAATTAAGTTGAAATATAAATTAAGTTTATTGCGTTGCAGTAAGGTAGAATGTTCAAAGGGTTTAATATTCCACGCTCCAAATATCGCAGTTCTCAACAAATTATATCTGCACGCAAACATTAACACTAATTATCAGGTAATTGACGGTTCATAAATTAGCGATTATAGTCTATTAGAGATTAGGAAATGAAAATAAATGCAATCCCAGATAATCCAACGCATCGACTTGTAATTAAAGAAGCGCTTAGTCGGCATTACAGTTAAATTCATAACGGTCGAATAAAAGGCGTTAAGATAAAATCTATTGCCCCATATATCTAAATAATTTTTTTTGGGAACCGCTTTCGCTTGTAAAGACGTGTGGGGACGCTTCGAGCTTCAAACGACGCAATTTCCTTGGATTCAGGATGATCTAATTAAATGTACGATGTTGGGTTTAGATTGAAATTTGAATAAGCTAAGGACATATTTTCGGCATTAGTTCTCTTAGTAAACATGTATCTCGTCAACTTTAATCTTTTATATGTAATTACAGCACGCGGTGACCGAATAAATTAAAATTTCAGTTACATAATTTTCATAAATACTTCCCTAACGTTTACAAAGGGCAATGGTGGTAATTACAGTTTTACTCTTTTATCTCTGTTAATATTCGTGCATAATAGAAAAAATTTTACAGAATTAATTTTAAAAAGCTTTGCAGCTTTCTCTTTTTAAAAGGCATTGCCTTCAAGCTATTCTGTAAAACTGAGTAATTCGCTTATCTGCTGTGTTTCCACATATTTGGGAGATACCCGGGGTGAGTTCGGTATACGGTTTGATATTACAATCGTTTCAATTAACTATACCCTCTGCACTAAGTCAATTGTTTCCCACTAATTGCATACAAAAGCGTTTACGTACGATGATTGAAATTATCGGGATACTTTCGAGATGTTGCCATTATCTACTGGTATATGCTGTAGGCAACTGATAAAAGGTTAATTTTTGTTCATTGGTTTCGATTTAAGATATATCTGCCCGAATTTATTTATTATGATAATACGGTTTTTTCTTGTTTCAGACTTCTCAAACGGGCGACACCTTGAAAAGAGGTAAGTGCAATTAAACTATTTGCCCGTACTTTGAACGGCGTCGCACTTTATGGAAGATTCGCCAAAAATAAAAGATCTTTCCAAATTTCGCAAGAATTATATATATTTTCGTAAATGCGTACAAATTATGTTTGGTTGATGGTCACTGTAATTTTTGGTTAAGAACCACACTGTCATATTTAAATTATCTGTCATTTCCTTTGCGGCGAACCTTTCACGCAAGCCTAAACACGCATTTTTGTTTTGCTCTGTCGTTTCTGGTTAATAATCCGTGTTGGTTTAATTGCACAAACTATTGAATATTGTTTCTGCCCATTTAACCAGTTGTGGTGTATTCTCGAAGTAGTTTTGAAATCGCCAAAATTTTTAGGGTAAATATGAATGTATTCCCCTTTATAAAACTATTACCATGAATATTGGGTTGATTTTTCATTGTGAATACTTCGATGAGAGACCGAATTGTAGTTTTGCGTTTAAGTAAGCAATTCTATCATAATTATGATAAAATCTATCTAATACAAACGGTTTCAATTTGCCCATAGATTGGTATCTTTAAGAAAAAAAAAACAAATGCAAATCCAAATTTTCTTGGCGAATTCCTAACATCAACCAATTGTAATTTACAAAAAATTTTCTTAAAGGTAAGAAACTAATTTTACCTAAATAAATATCACTGTACCTTATATGAAAATGCCCTTCGACAGACATAGCACTGACGTCCTTTCGAGACAGTACTTAGAAAATTGAGTAATAGTAGCTACAACTACATATAAGTCCAAAAAACACGTTTAATTAATTTCCGTTTTCACTCATAAATAGAAACTCTTGGTAAAAGTTGCGGAAAAATTCTCGTTTAAACAAGGATGCCGGAAGTAACACTGGATTCCGGATCAACGTTGTATTTTGCTCTATGAGGTCGTCACATTGCTGACGCCAGAGCGAATGTCTTCCTGGAGACCGGTGTTGTTATTTTTTTTGTAGAAAACCGAATTTTCAAAGTATCCTCCGGATTAATCCCTACCTATTTTCTTTATAATTCATTATCGCCCTTTTAAAATGGCACCATTCATTAAATGAATCATTTAAGATATGGATATAGTTTTTATAACTACTTGTCACTAATACCATTCTTTTGTTTAGGTTAAATTTTGTTTAGCATCAAGAGGTGTGTAAATACAGGGTGATTCCTATAGTACCTGCCACCGTTTGGGAGCGTGTAGGTGGTGCGTAGGGGAGTATTTTGATATAGGACACTTGGGGTCGGAAATCTAAAATAAGGGTGCCAGCGCCAAATTTACCTTCTGGAATTTCGCGCCTGTAGGTAGGCAACCCAACCGGCCGGCGGTGCACACGGAGCGATCTCAGGCGGCGATGTGTGGCTGACACTTGATCAGAATTTTGTTAAAACCCACGAAATCCCGTCTGCAACGACGCGTATCAAGTGAATAAACACTATGGCAATAGTATAATAATAGTTGGCTAGATGTAGGAAGTGCATTGAGAACAACGGTGGCCACGTTGAATACTTGTAAACGTTATTGCTTTTGACTGTCGTTTTCCCTCCTTCCCTCCCATGTCGCTTCCTCGCGCTAACTCGCTCTGCATCGCTCCGAGCGAAACGTCGGTCGGTTGGGTTGCCTACATACAGGCGTGAAATTCCAGAAGATAAATTTGGTTCTGGCGCCCTTATTTTAGATTTCCGACCCCAAGTGACCTATATCAAAATACTCCCCTAGGCACCCCCTATACGCTCCCAAACGGTGGCAGGTACTATAGGAATCACCCTGTATATTCAAAAAATTTAATTTATATGAGTATTTATGTGAGAGTGACCAAACCGGAGCATCAGGTTTTAATTTTTAGATTATAAGTGGAGATAAAGAGCCAACATTCTGCAAGTTAAGAGTCAATGAAAATGTATTGATTACTGAGCCTGCCGTGGTATTAATTATTATAATTAAATGAATTATAATTTTTGTATTGCTGTCTGTCTGTCCGTCTATCTGTCCATCTGTCTGTCCGTGTGCATGATAACTTTGTGTAGAAACATCCAATTGCTTTGCAAATTGATACGCATGTTCTTCGGGATATATGAAAGGTCGCTATTGTTTTTTGGCTACGTAGACTAACGGGCCAAAAAGTTACCGCCCAAAAACTACCCAAACCTCCAAAAAGGGTTTCTCTTATAACTCTTGTTACAAAGAACATAATGAATGTCCAGTTTTCTGTGTTAGTAAATATTTCTTAAACTTCAGGCAACTCTGCCGATGCAAAAAATATTGCGCATTACAACTTTTATATATGCGCAATCCCAATTTTATTATTTGTTACGATATTTAATGGAAATTTTGTATGTAGGCACCTCGAATAAAAGGAAAACTGATACCGATAAAAAAATTTGTTTTGCGCATGCACAAACTAATGCGGATTCAAAAGTTCGTTTTACAAGCCATGGTGATCTGGTGGGACCGAATCAACCCCTTAAGGTGTATTGTAAAAATGATGTATGTGTGAAGATCTCGAGGATCGTTCGGTATTCAGTTGTATCGGATTTTTTCAGTATAAAAAATTAATTGTTACAGTAAAGTTGTTACCAGTGCCGTAGAGAATAAAATTTATTTTCTACAAAAGGGGTGTAACTGTAGTTAGTCCGTTACAGGCTCGCATTTCTTTTTCCTTAAACTTTGCCCTTTTTTAGCGCATTTCCACAAAAATAAAAAAAAAATGCGCTATTGTGGCCACTTTGTCCGTCCGTCCGTCCGTCCGCTCGTTTTGCGACGCTACTAGTTCTTTATCTTGAGAGCTATTGTTCTACTTTTTTCGCTATTTGGTTCGTTATGGTGTCGAGTCTTGTACCAAGGAAGGAATTTTTTCTGTACCGCTTACAAAAAAGTTATTGTAAAAAAAACAAAAAACCGTTTTTTACATGTTCCATAATTTTACACTTTTGCCGTTTATTAACGATCCTAGATATCGTTTATAATTTTGCATTGCTATCTGTCGTCTACCTATTGGTCTGTCCGTCTGTTCCTTTGTCTGTCTGTCCATCTATCTGTCCGTGTGAACGATAACTTTGTTTAGAAATGTTCGATCGCTTTTACATCTCCGTGAGTTATGAACTGAATTGCATGAAATTCAATATGGGCATAGATTTAGCCATATAATACGCAATGCCAAAAGTTGAATCGAATCGATTCAAAATTCACAGTGCCTTTTTCGCATCTCGACCATTTATAAACCGAATTGCAAACTTTTTACTTATAAAAGTATTTGAATGAAATTTGATACATAGGCACTTGGAATAAAGGAAAATCAAACGCCAATTTCAAAATTTGGTTTTGCGCATGCGCAGTGCCAACTTTTTTATCTATGGAAGCATTTAAGTGAAATTTGATACTTAGGCGCTTGGAACAAAGGAAAATCTAACATTAGTTTTAAAATTTAGGTTTGCGCATGCGCAGTTTCAACTTTCTTATTTAGAAAAGCATTGAAATGAAATTCTTCTCATAAACTGAAATTGAAGTAGCACGTCAAAAATGGATTGCCCATGTGCAAACGCTATCTTTCATATTTGTGGCCGGATTTTTACGATTTTAACAGAAGTTGCATCTTACAAATGGGAAATGAATGCAAGTGGAAATGCGCTTTATGTAAATCGTTTACGATTACTTTTTAACTTGTTCTTGGTTGTTGACATGCAGTACCTGTGTTCACTATGTAAGCAGAATTTAAAATTTTAAATTATAGACTCAATTTTCTCATGTAACTCCTTAAAACAATTCTATGGGGAAGGTTTTGAGCAATTAACACGACTTTTAAATTCAAGAAAGAGATATACGAACACTTAATAGCACAGAAATGAGGTTTCACATACGGATCTCCAGCAGTTGTTATACTACTTAAAGAAAGAAATTCCCACAGAAAGAAGATACACTGGAGTAATGTCTCAGAATGAATGTGAGTGGTATACTGGATGTGACATAGCCACTACCACAGCGTAGAACCCACGATGTCGAAACGAAGTCAAGGAATCGCTAACTTGATCGACGCAGGTCAGAGGCTCCACTAGTCTCAAGCTTCCGGTCATTGACTCTAGTTTTTTTTCTATAGGATAAAAGGGATAAATGGAAAGCGGTATGAAATGAACTGGAAAGTGGATGAATTGGTTTAAAGTTCAGGTTGTTATAGTAGAGGAGTCCAATAGAGGTATTTGAGATTTATCCGATAGCGTCAGATTAAAGTAAGGTGGGTTGACTACGTGTTGAAAAGTGTGCATTTCAATAATCTCACGCTTTGAGTGACATAAGGGAGTGGGAAGGTGACAAACTTGCAAAAAGAAACGTTACCTTGACATTCTCGAGCGCGTTAGATTTTACCAACTGTACATCTTTATACTGCTGCTCAATAGAGGGCGCTTTTAAGTATACCTAAAATATGTGTTACCCATAAAATGCTTATGGCAATCTGTTGTATGTTCTGTGGTGGTAAGAACGAGAAGTGAAAGTGTTATTGCCAATGTAGTTAATGTTAAGGCAGCGTTAACATGCTCTATAAATAGAATAACGTTCACATTGTAAGCTTACAACTATAGTCTGGGGTGTCTCATGTTGGTAAATGGGGAAATGTTGTTTAGCTATCTGCAAACAGAAGAATAAGGCTAGAAGACCACGCTCACCAACTGACCAAACTGGATTAATTTTAACGACAAACTAATGGCATATAAATTCGATTGCTATAGATATTGTAGGTGAGGTAAGGATGGAAAATGTACGCGACCAAATCGAATTAAATGCAAATGGTATTAGATTCCACCCTCTCTCTAATTAAGTTGAATTGAAAAGAACGCTATTAACTTATTACGTAGATGCATTTGATAAACCAAGGAAAATGATTATACCAAAGGTATAGCTACTATCGCTTACGTTTCCAAAGAAAATTATCCTTTGAGCATCGTTCATTACACGTTATACGTAGTAGGTATTCATTATACGTCGTTGATA